AATTACTTTACATGAGATCAGTAGTACTGTTTAACATTTAGAGAAAGGGAAAATGCAGAATGCTATTGGACCAAAAATGCTGCCACAGCAGGGGTGGGAGCTTTTAAAGTTGAACAGTGATGCAATATGTTTAGAACGAATACTAAAGAGCATGGTTTATCTGCCTATTTGTTATGTCACACTTTGTGTGGTTTCTATATATTCATGAAGAAATTTTAAGAAATCCTATTCTTACTCTTGTATTCATATTGCAGATAATATTGAAGCCGCATGCCTTCAAGGGACATGCAAAGTTGTTCTCAGGTTACCTTCTCCTTTCCTAAACTGACAATGTGATGTGATGGCCCATGTTGCTGGCATTGCCTGAGCTATCTTAAGCATAGCTTTGGAATGGCAGAGTGAAGTAGTTGAAGGACTTGTTTCTTGTGTACACAATCTACCCCACAAGATCCATGGAGTTCTTAGCTGTGCACTCGTCTTCACTAACTTTTATATTTTCTTGGCATCCCTTTTTTCAGCACTTTGGTCCACACATGAGCTGTGTTTGTGGATTTTCCACAAGCTGTGCAGTGGTTCTTTGGATACTTGGTTGTACTGTGTATTCTACCATTGCTGTTTATTTTTACGTCTATATTTTATGCAATCACTGTTTCTTTATTTTTATGTCTGCTATTTTAATTAATCAAATTAATTAAATGGAACAGAATATGTTTATGATTGGATTCATAGCATTAAAAAAGTTGTTTGATACTAATGTAAATATATACTGTTTAATTGGGCAACAGGGAGGGGGAGACGTTCACAATTCCCTTTCAAGTAGTACTATATAAGGAAAAGGTTAAACTGAGACTTATATTCAAATTTAATTTAAAAATTATATGTCTGCCATTCTGAACACTGCTCCAAAGAAGTTGGAAACAATGATCCTCCACTGCATTGAAGGACAATAGAACCTCTGGCTTTGGGCAAATTAGTCAAAAGAACTTGAGACTGTGAAAGACTTTTCCATGTTCGCAAGAGCTCCTGCCTGCTTAAGTAATATCTTCCACTTATCAACACTTTTCTTCATTCTATCCTACCTGCATAAGAGAATTCCACTTAGTTTGTATATACTGTATTTCATTGCATAGCAGTCATTTTTATCCCTTTTATTTTTTATTGAAAAAAGTTGTGTGCACTCAGTGAAAAAAAAACGTACCAGTCTTATGTACAGTGTGCTAGCAGCTAGCTTCCCTTCCATGTGTCTTGCTGCTCTAAGCAGCTTTATCTGCTTGCCTCCACTTTCAAGAAGAGTGCTCCATCCACTCACCCTTCTGCCCACCTACAACCTTTTGGGCACGTCCTATGCTCCATTCACTCGCTCATCCCCTTTCAGTGCCATGCCTGAAAGAGGGCAGGCAAGTGTGTGAGTGATAAAGCATTAACAGTGCTTGAAAAAGGGCGGGTGAATAGGCAGGCGAGTGAGTGAGTGAATGAATGAAGTGCCAGCTGTGCCCAAAAAGGAATGCCTTTGCTGAAAGAGGGCAGACAAGTGGGTGAAAGTTTAGGGAAGTAAGACATGTGGAAGCGAAGCCTAGCTGCTAGCATACTGTTAACAACGAGGAGGCGGTTTTCTTTCAACAATACCAAATTTGCCATCTGAAAAGGGTGGTGGGGGTGCAACTACTACGCAATGAAATAGGGTATTCCATTATCTTTTGCATATATTTGTCTTTGTTTTGTATTCAAATCATTGTATCTAAATCAAAAGTGTTAACTATTTCTTTAAAGACAGAAGTATTTGTGTTTTACATAAAGCTGATGTCAGAAAGGTGCTTCAGTTTTCCTCCCTTTGATTTAAGTTATATTTCATTTTTCTTTCCAAAATGGGACTTTGTTTCTTGGGATTCCTTCAAGCACCTAGACTGCTTAAGATATTCCATATTAAATTGTTGGGGTTTACATCTGAATTTGTTGTAGGTACATAATGGATACAACATTGTTCTGTACAAGTAAGATTTTTATTGTCATGTTTTTAATGTGTAGATCACACTTAGATCCTAGAGCTGTCATAAATCTCCTTCTTTGAAGCGTTTATGCATATTTGGATGAAAATTTGTCTCTGCATAATGGTCATGTTACTGATACATATTCACAAAACTGCTTGGCTCACTATTTTGCTGTCATTATATGTGTTATTTATAAAGGTTTTTTAGTGTTTGGGTCTATACGGACTATGAGGAGCAATACCAATTGTTAGTTTAAAATCTTACTCCAAAACAACAAGAATAGCAGTCTAGAGATGATGACAGGAAAAAAGTGGAAAGGATATGTAACTATTTCATGCAACAGTGTTTAGATTGTGGGCCCTTCCACATTGCCATATAAAATCCAGATCATCTGCTTTGAACCAGAATATATGGGCCGGCTTTAGCACCACAGGTTCCAGCTCTAGTCAATCTTGTCAGTCAAAAGGCTGCCTGTTCAAAGCGCCTGGCCTTAGCCCAGCTTCCACCCACATAGCGGTTCGAAAGCAAAAATGGGATTAGACTAATACCTCTCATCAAAAAGCCAGGGGGAGTTATTCTGAGTCATCCAGAAGGAATGCCGACAATACAATCCAAACAATGAAATTACACAATAGCTCTTTGGCTGGTAGATGGAGCGACAGCACACACACACCATGGCTGGAATCGAGCACAACACCTTCCCAGATGCCGGAAAAAATGGGAAAGCTGATATGTCTACACCTCTTATCTATGTATAATTGTCTGTCCAGTTGTGTATAAAATGGCATTGAATGTATGATGCATATGTATGTTCTGTGATTCTCCCTTAGTTCCCTTTGGGGTGAGAAGGGCAGAATATAAATACTGTAAATAAATAAATAAATAAGGCAGTGTAGACTCATATCCATTTCAAAGCAGATAATGTGGATTATCTGTTTTGATAATGTGGATTATATGGCAGTGTAGAAGGAGCTAAGTTACAGTATATTATTGAGCTTCTCCAAACCTCACTTCAGAGAAGTAAGTTATAAGGGAGGGATTGGTTGTAAGGGGGGATGTGGTGTATAAAGAACTCATACCAAGGAACTACTTTTTTCTGGGAGAAGGAGGAAAAGGGAATTTTAAAATTAGTGAAATCCCACAAGCTACCAACACTTATAAAGAACTCAGGGAGGGAGACTGATAAATTAGGGAGGATATAACTGTATGTATATATCTGAATGACGTCTAAACTGAGGTTTTGTAACTGTTTCTTCAATTGGGTTATGCTGCCACCTTTTCTAATATTCAGGCTGAGAGGATACTTAGTAACACTATTCTGTGTTACTATGGGGTTTATTTTCCTCAGAGGGTTTAAATATCAATGACATTCACACACAGGCTGTGGTAAAGAGTTAACTATAACAAAACGTTTATTTAACAGGTTCAAATTACAGATGTGTAATGGTTTCAGAAGTAGTTCAGTGCTTGAATCACAGGTTCCAGTCAAAATCTTTAAACCTATGAAACTCTTATTATTCCACTAAACAGATTCTCAATACAAACAGCCCAATTATCCAGGGTCTGTTTACACCAATAGTTCTTCCTTGAAGCAACTATTAAGAATTTATCACAAGCTAAACTTCCTTCTTTTTCCCTTTTCAATACCTAACTGCTATCCCCAAACACCAACTGTCAAAACCCAACTGCCAAACTCAAGCCTCAGAATTCAAAAAGGTAACTTTTTTTCTTTATCTTAATATTAGGCTCCACCCCCTATTCTAACCAATCCTGACCATCTACCCTTTTCTTCCTTAACAAGGACACGCCCCCTCTAAGAAAACCTAACCTAAGATGACGTCTCCCTGTTTCCCTAATCTAAAATGGCCACCGGAGCTTCACTAGGCCCATATCCTAACTGTTAAAGGATATGGGGCGCTAAGGGGAGATAAACCATCCAGATCCAGGACCCATGCCACACGCCAACACGGAGTTGTGACATATAAATAAACAAAACTAGCAAGAATGAGCTAACAATAACAAGTAAACCAGAATAATAATAATAATAAAACAAAAAACCCTGACATGCAGGGTGGGTGGGATGGAAAAGTCAAAGCAGGCACAGTGCCTGCTGGAGGGCCTCGGGCAGCCTTAAATAGGGAGAGGCCAGCCCTGGCCCTGCCAGCTGTAGGGAGGGCCAGATCTCCATTGGTCAGCCGGCCACACGGCAGGAAACTCCCACCGCCCAGGGGTCTTCTGGGAGGAAGAAGCCCCATTTCCTGTCCTCGAGATGGCGGCGCAGGACATCTGGCACTGCAACATTTTGGGCTGGAAAGTCGGGCCATGCCTTTTATTCATCTATTCAGCTGTCAGTTGTTTGGGTTTTTTTAAATTCCCTTAGGGATTTTTTACACCAAGGGAGACATCCAGCGTTGTGAGGTGGTAGACCAATAGTACCAAAAAGGCAAAGCAGAAATTCAGTCAGCCAGTCTTCTTTGCTTTCGCAGTAGAGTTTCAGTGGGGTCCAAGAAATATTTAAATGGCATGCAAAACACACACAGACTTTTAATCATTTGCTTAAAAGTCTGCCATCTCAAGGAGATAGCTCTTGCAACTTTACCAAATAACAAATGGTGTTGCCTTTTTCCATGATGTAGTTTTGAGTGCAAGGATTGCTATTTAACAGGCTGACTGACTGCCTCCCAGTTCTTCAACTTGCAGAAAAAAGCTTTTTCTGGTTCAGGCATGGATTTGCCTTCCGAAATATGGGACTTTTAGTCCAGAGTGAAGGGTTCTGCCGTCCTGTTTTTTTTTTCTGTGCTTTTACATGGTTATCAGATGGTTTTAAATGTTGTTTTAATGTGAACCATTTAATTATGTTTTAAGGGAATGCCACTGTATTCTTAGCTGTATCTGCTTTCCAAGCAATAGCTGTGAGGGAAAAACAGTTTCTCCTTGCTCTGTCTATGGTCTATGGGGCTTCTGAGGCACTCAAAACTCAAGGCGATAACCATTTGTTGTTTAACTAATAGATGGAAGTACGGGTTATGTAGTAGCTAGTTGATGATAACTGGTTATGTTCAAAATACTGCTTGTAGTTATTAATGGTAAGCACAACTGATTATGTTAAAACTACTGTTTATAGTTATTGATGGTAAGCACAACTGGTTATGTTAAATTGATTTCAAATGACTGTGCAAGCCTGAATCTCTGGGACTGACTGAAGACACACCCTATCTCAAGAATTCTCTGGTGGTCTATACTATAAAATGTCTCCTTTACCTCAGAAAAGGGGCGTGGCCAACCAACTGTCACAAACGGCTCTTTTTTCCTCAGGCAAAAGGGGATGTGGCCAACTAACTGACACAAAATGGCTCCCTTTTTCTCAGACAAAAGGACTAACAAAATGGCTGACACAAACCAGAAAGGGTTTTCCTAAGCTCCACCCTCATAAAAACTAACATAACAGTAACTGCTCTAAAACTATGGGCGAGAAAGCCAAACAAAGGGATCTGGATCTAGTGCAATTCCAGCACAGATGGGAATTACGCTGGACATGAACAAGTATGTCTGGTAGGAGGGTTTTAAGAAGTGAGGGTGCAACCTTGCGTTTGGCTGGAATATGAACACAACCCCTTCCCAATCAGTAAATGCTGACTGATCATGTTTGTTCCTCACCTCTCTACCCTTACTGAGAAATGCAGTTCTTCTCTTGGAAGTCTTTTTCAAAAATGGAACAAAACACAATGTCAATAAAATACGACAATACTCTTTCAGTTACGCCTATAATGTATTTAAGTGTATTTTCCAAAGTTATACATTCCCAGAGCACACTTATTACATTTGATTTTCATGTAGAATGCTGCAGCATCTTAAAAGCAGGGACCTTTCAGTCAGTGAAACTAAGGCCCTTCTTTATCACAGCAACAGTCATACATTTTGGAAATGTCATGGGATTGTGTCACAAGCTAGTAACACATTTTCTTTTTACCTGCGTTAAAATGTGTAGAGCTCTTCAGTTTACTTTAGAAGCAACTGGGAATACTTTTTTGGGGAGGAGGGGAGAGGCACCAGTGCCTCTTGATTCATGAAAATCGTCATCATCCTCCTCCTCCTCCAGGTGGTTCTGTCTTAGAGACATAATAAACTTTTCAAGATCTTCATGGACTCTAGAATCTGAATACAAACATAGTATATATAAATTTTCAGGTGCATGAGGGGATTAGTTCCAACTAATATGATTGTGGACATTTGCCAGAAAGATCTTTCCTTTATACTGCTTTCATTTACCTTTGTGCCCGAGACATGGAATCATAGAATCATAGTTGGAAGAGACCCTGTGGGCCATCCAGTCCAATCCCCTGCCAAGAAGCAGGAAAATTGCATTCAAAGCATGTCAGAAGTACTAAATATTAACTGAATATTTTTGATTACAAAAGTGTGAATCAAACACTGAAAGAGTTAGTGGGCCAAAGCCAGGGTTGCCCTGAGGAGAGTGAGTAGGCCAAAGCCTGTTATTGTTAGTTTTGCCTGAGGGAGGGAACTTCTCAGTCTGTGTGATGAGGCATCTGTGAGAGGAGGCTTGTCAGTGTGAGGAAAACTTCTGTATGAGAATAAAGCCTGATATGGGGAGCTCCAGTGTTTAGAGGCTGCTGTGTGTATAAATCTACTATGTATTTGTTTATTCGGGTTGTGGAAACCTGGTTATTGTAAATTGTGCAACTATATTATTCTACTACAAAGAAAAGCCTCCTATGGAAGATATAACATTGGTCTGTGTCTTTTTGTTCTTTTATCACTTTGGGCTATTGGCGTTGGATCACACTCATGCTGCTGAGTTGCTCTGCTGTACATTTATGGGGAGTGTCTTTTGTTATTAAGCCCACTCGCCCATCAAAGCACTCCCGACAAATGGCCATTCAGCCTCTGTTTAAAAGCCTCCAAAGGAGCCTCCACCACACTCGTAGGAAGAGAGTTCCACTATTGAACAGCTCTCACAATCAGGAAGTTCTTCTTCATGTCAGGTGGAACCTCCTTTCCTGTAGTTTGAAGCCATTGCTCTGCGTCCTAGCCTCCAGGGAAGCAGAAAACAAGCTTGCTCCCTCTTTCCTATGACTCCCCCTCACATATTTATACATGAGGAGTCCTCAGCTGGTTGAGCTGAGGAGCAGATGTATGGGAGAGAGTTCCCGAGAACCTCAGGTTTTAAGGATTTATTTTTATTACATAGCCCTATTTTTATTTTTTAATCAACTTTACCTAGATTAGATTACTCCAAAGGGAAAGGTTCAATTAAAAATCCTTGAAGCCCATGAAAGGTTTCTAAACTGAGCATTGCTTAAGCTCATTGACACATTTAGCTTAATGTTTCTTTTCTGTTCCCCTTTAAACTTTTTAAAATTTGAAAATAACAACAATATATATGTGAACTGTTCAAAATTAATTTTGTCAAATTCATGGCAATTTCGTCATCTGGTATTCTTTTGAGTTGGTAGAGACTAGGCATGCTTAGGTTCGGTTGGAATCTTCGTAATTTTGAATAAATCCGGAAAGATTTGCTTTTTTGAAGCTATTTCAAAGATTTTAAAGAAACCAGAAGTCCCTTTGCCCTTCTGAAGCTTTTTCCGCCATTTCTGTTATGAAGCAGTGAGTGAGTCAGAAATGATCCAGCATTTCCCCGCTTCGCTTCCCTGGCCTCGGCTCAAGCCTGGGAAGCCGTGTTATAGCAGAGTGGATGAATCCCCTCCTTCCTTTCTCCTTGCATTCTGCCTGGGTCCTGGAAAGCCGTGTTAAAGCAGCCTGGAAGAATTTCCCCCCTTCCTTTCCCCTCACATTCTGCTTGAGTCCTGGAAAGCCGTGTTAAAGCACCTGGATGAGCCCCCCCCCCCCTCCTTTCTTTCTTTCCATTCTCCTCTCCTTCCTACTCTTTTCCTCCTCTTCCTCCGCTTAAGCGGCTGAGGGGGAAAAGGAAAGGGCCTGAGGATGTTAGGAATGATGGGAGTTGAAGTCCAAAACACCTGGAAGGAATACCTGATCTGCTGTCAGGCCCCATATAGATTGCCATGTAATGCATCTTGAAACTGCATTATGTATATACTCAGTGATGTAGACTTCTATCATGCAGTTTAGCTTCCTTCTATGAGTCTCCATAATGCAGAATGCAGTAGGTCCGCAGTTTGAATCCGGTTTAGCAGTTTGAATCCGGTTTTGCAGTTTGATGTACTGGTGGGAATGTAATGGCGCTCCATATAGTCATGCTGGTGACATAACTTTGGAAGTGTCTATGGACAACAGGTCTCTTTGGCTTAGAAATGGAGATGAGCATCACTCCCCAGAGTCTGACAGGAAGGACTGAATGTCAAGGGGAAACCTTTACCTCTACTTTGATAATCTGAATTACGTGACAGGAGGAAGAGGAGGAGGTGGAGGAGGAAAAGGAGGATCGCCTCCTCCTCGTCTTCCTCCGCATTGATAGCCGAGACAGGCCTGGAGTTTAAGAGCCCCTCGGTCAGGAGTTGAAGAGCCCCTGAAGTTTCCCCTGTACTGTTTTTTTCCAACTGCGCACACATGATTGTCTGCCATGAATGACACTATTCCAAAGTTTCAGAAAGTTATGGATTTTTCGGGGAAAAAATCGGAATTCAATTCTGAATCGAACAACATCCGAAACAAGTTTTGAACCATTTTTTGGATCAACCAAGCCTAGTAGCTACATTTAGATTCCTGCAAATTTAAACAAATTGTTTTAATTAATTGTTTGTGGCAGCCTTGAAACGTTTAGATTTGATGTCATCTCTCCAGTCTTCTGTAATCAGTAACTTAGATATACAGACGGAATTAACAAAAGTTAACACTTCCAGATAAAGAATCCCTAATTGGTTGTAACAATTTCCTTTTAACAAAAAATCTCTCCGTATTCATTACATTTACCTCTTTTGCAATAACAAAACTTTAACCCAATTTATTATATTTTGTAGGAAATTCAAAATAACATTTACTAGGCTGACCAATTTTGCTGATCAGACTACTGTCAAACCATAATGCAATTCATCTGCCTTTACCAATTTGCAAAATCATAACTCCAGTGACATTTATTTAACCATAAAACACCCCCTCTAGGTAATATAATAATGCCATTTTGTAACAAGCACCTCATTTTCCTTAAATGGCCTATTACAAAAAAAACCAACCCCCCCCCCCAGAAAATAAGACTCAGAATCTCATCTCTTCTTCCTCCTGCTCATTTTCCCTTATAATCACCAAGACTCCTTTTGTACCAAAACTTAAAATTCATTTAGATCTCTTTTTCCCTTTGAAACAGTTATATGGAAGAAAAGGTTGAACAGGTACTTATTTTACAATTTATTTTTAAAACATGGTAATTGAGCTGCCATCCTACATACCTCTCCAAAGAAGTTGGAAACAATGATCCTCTACTGCATTGAAGCACAATAGAACTTTTGACTTCGGTCAAATTAGTCAAAAGAACTTGAGACTGTCAAAGACTTTTCCATTTTTGCAAGAGCTCCTGCCTGCTTAACTAATATCTTCCACTTATCAACAGTGTTCTTCATATGATCCTACCTGCATAAGATAATTCCATTTAGTTTTTATATACTGTATTTCATTGCATAGTAGTCACTTTTTAATCCCTTTTATTTTGATTGAAAAAAGGGGTGTGTGCACAGTGAAAAAAACACGTACCAGCCTTATGTACAGTGTGCTAGCAGCTAGTTTCCCTTCCATTGGTCTTGCTGCTCTAAACAGCTTCACCTGATTGTCTCCACTTTCAAGAAGAGTGCTCCATCCACTCACCCTTCTGCCCATATACCCTCTTTTGGGCACGGCCTATGCTCCACTCATTCACTCGACCTCTTTCAGTGCCGTCCCTGAAAGGTGGTGGGCGAGTGTGTGAGTGATGAAACACTGTGTGTAAAAAGGGGCGGGTGAATAGACAGGCGAATGTGTGAATGAATGAAGTGCCAGCAATTTGCATGGATTCTCTTCGGTTGCTATTCCCTCCTGGTCAGCCTTGGGCGAGAGATGTAGTTTAAAGCAGTTTGAATTGATTCCCTTCGGTTGCCATTCCCTCCGATCAACCTTGGGTGAGAGATGTAGTTTAAAGCATTTTGAATGGATTTCTTTCGGTTGCCATTTCCTCCTGGTCAGCCTTGGGTGAGAGATGTAGTTTAAAGCGGTCCAGACCATCTGACAGAGCATATCCCCCAATATGAACCTGCCCAGTCCCTGTGATTCACAGGAAAGACCCTTCTCTTATATGAAGACTATAGTGGCGACTTCTTCTTTGCTCTCCTTCTACTGATTGGCAAAAACTGAAAGCTTTTAGCAAAGCAATATTTATTATTTATTTATTTATTTATTACTTGCACTTATTAACCGCCACTCTCAACCCTAGGGCGACTCGTGGCGGTGTACAAAAACATAGAAAAGACAATTTACAATAAATCGTGACAAGAAGTGCTGCATTGCTTTGGATTGTATTATTCAACTTTTTAGAATGTTTTGCCTTTTATATGGTTAATAGTTGAATTAAGTTTTAATGGTGACTTTTTGTATACTTTTAATTGCAATGTTTATAATGTGTTAGCCATCTCGTTCAAGTCTTGGGAAAAATGCTGGTCATAAATGGGGCTGACTACTATAAGAACTTCTAAAGTGTCAACTTTCTATGTCATAGCTGTACATATAGAGAGAGTGCAAACACAAAAAGTGTTTCATACAATCAGCTTACGCTTCCTTCCTTGTAGAAATTAGCATGAAAGCAGTAATTCTGATACCATCAAAACAACTGAGGAGCAAATAAGCTGCTCTTTTTATCATCCTGAATTTTAGTTAGTTTTTGCAACTGATTTACAGATGACATGTTAAAGAACACCTAATCAGCAGTGAGACGTTTATCTGTGGATAGATTTTTTATTTGGTCTACTACTAAAATAATTTCATATTTAATTTCTGTTCTTGTGTACACTTTCCTTCAGATATTTAGCAATATTCACATTTCAGAATCAAATCAGAAAGCTGAAAAGAAATTTGTTCAATAAACTAAAATGTTCAGCTTTATTTTGATATCCTCATTGTAACAGGCTACAACTGCACACCTTTGGAAAGACATATGGAACCACAGGCAGCTCAATGGGAGAACTACTGATGTGTTTGCCTTTCAAAAACTGGTCTGGGATATAAGTAATGAATTGCATTTTTCCTGATTTAAGTTCTTTTCGCAGTTGCCATTTACAGCACTTCATAAAATCTCAGCCACCAGAAATCAGTTAAATGGATCCCCATCAAGATACATAAGTCTTAATTATGATTAAATAGATAAAATCTTCAACTCACAGGGTATTAGATTTTTTTTCAACACTGACAAGAAACTACTCATTTCAGACATAGATAACTACTTGGTTTTGTTATCTCAAATACCCATATATTCTAAAGTTGGCATGAGGGAAAGTGTGGTTCTTCATACCCTGTCCAACTGCAATTCCCATCGTGTTTCAGTATTGGCTTTGATGGCTCGGATTCATGTGAACACCAGTCCAAGATTCTCAAGAGTCACACATTCATCACATGTGTTCTAACTGAAGTTTCTCTAATAGTGTACCTGGGCAAAACAATTTGTTTTTCTGTGTCATTAAAAGAATTAGCAAATATCTCGACATGTGTCATTTGGGACAATAAGAAAAATAGATATATTAACAAAAATGTTTATTTATAAACAACTACTGGTCCACACAAATGTAAAAAAAATGTTATTCCCAATTATGTAAGTGTGTACTAAGAAACTGGCTCCATTCTCCTCTCTCTTCTCAAAATCGCAAGGGAAAAAATTGCAAGTGACAGCATCCATCACATTTTTCTTCTGCAGGTTTAAAGTTTCAAATAACAATCATAACACACTGGATAGCAACTTCTAGTTAGAAACACTTTGTAGAAGAGTAATATTGTCTCCTTTTAACATGATTCGACCTGAAATGGAAAACAGGATCATTAGACCTATATGGATACAAAGGATCTATTTTCTATTAACATTTGTATAGTTGTATAGTTAAATATACAACCTACTATACAGTATCTCCCTAATCTTACTTTGCTCCTCTTGTTCTCTCCCATTTTCATCTTTCAATCTCTTCACCCATGTTTTTTTCCTTTTTCAAATAGTAAGTCATCCTCTTCATTGATTCTATTCCAACTTTGGAAATAGCTTTTAACATATAATACTTATTTATTATATTTCTTATATTATACTTATATTATACTTACCCAGCTGTTTTCTTGATTTTGTCTTGGAGTGAATCTCCTCTGCATCATCCAGAACCAAATTCATATATTCATCAAATCCCTGTCAGTGAGAATAGAAAATAACCAAACTAAGGGAAACATAGAAAGGGGGAAATTCCAGTAATTTATTAGTCAGTAAATACATATTAATTTCCCTTCCAAATGCTCTTCCAAGTGCAGGGAAGGTGCTTTTCTTTATTCTCCCACCTCCACAGGCACTGTTGCTAGGATCACAAGAGATTGTTTTCTCTATGGCTGCTCTCACACATTGTCAAGTTAAGGGCTGCTCTCTAGGGAAGTTAGGAAGGTCCCTTCATTGTTAGCCTTTTCATGGAAGGTTTAGACAAAGCCTGCACAACCTGTGGCCCTCCAGGTGTTTTGGACTTCAGCTGTCAGAATTCCTGACCACTGAACAAGCTGGCTAGGGCTTCTGGGAACTGAAGGCCCAAACACCTGGAAGGCCACAGATTGAAAAGGCCTAGTTCTTTTGGCCCAGTTCTTTTGCCAGCAGGTCTTCAGAAAAGTCAAGACAACAACAAAGGACACAAGACTGTACTGTTTGTAAAATCTTTTAAAGAAAGATTCTAATGGGTTTTAATTCTCTTCTTTAATACTGTTTCAAATTTAATCTTAATTTTGAAAGTTTTGAACTATGCATGTCTTATTATGTTCTCTGCCTTAAGTCCCAGAATGGATAGACTCGAGTTTTAAATGTACAGTCACCAGAATAGAAAACCAATTAAAGACTGCTCATATTGGGGAAGGCAAGTTGTTTAAATATCTAGCTTCCAATTCCTTAAAAGTCAAAGCAAGCATGGTTAAATGTTTGCAGAAACATCTAGTAGATGAGTGTTGATGTTTACAAATTGTCTAGATATGTTTACACAGGGTTAAATATCAGCTAATTTAAACATCATTTTATAACAACAGACATTTCTGAACAGACTTCCAAGCCAACCTTCTGCTTCAAGCAATGAAGTAATGTAGGTTTTACCAGGGGAAAGATAACAATGGATAGGCATTAGCAAATATACAGTGAATCAGACAGACTGATGACCTATTTAGCTTGGCACCATTTATATTCCAGTTCTCTGATTTGGAGGAAGAACTGGGCTCACCACACTTAACACAGACCAGCTCTTTTCTCTCCATGACAAAAGATGGGGACAAGGAAGGCCATGTAACCCCAAGAATCATATAAAATGTGTTTACCACTTAGTTTGTCTTTTATAACATGGTAAAATATGAAACTCACTTGAAACTAATGCAATAGTTCAAGTAAAATTTCAGTGTAAAGATGCTTTTTTATTTTATAAGAGACATAGACTTTAGTACTCACAATAATGCAGCCTTCTATTCGCATATTTACTTGCTCATACAACCACACCTGAATTCTGGACCTCTACAAAGTAAATAGGACAGAAATGACTTTCACAATTGTTCTAAACAGGTTTTCACAAATCAGGTTTTTCCCCTAGCAAAGTAAAAACAGACATGTGTCAGCACTCCCAACAAAATATGGAGTGTTCTCCCATAATTTTACCAGGATTTTTCTACTTCAGATAAATTTCATGAAATAATATCACTTAGATTAAATGGCACAAGCTTACTAGAGCCTAGATATTTATTAAAAGAATTTTAAATAGCTTTTAAAGAATTTTCATCCCCATGAATAAAATCAAGTATTGTATCTTGATTACAGTAGCTCAATTTGTTCAAATCCATTGTTAAGGGTAAAAATCAAGGTTGATATGTTCACTTACATTCTGTAGATATCTGAAGATGAGGTTCTGTGAGTAGTGACTTAAGAAAAAATACAGACATAAAAGGAACAAAATGCATACTCAAAGAGCACTTTAGGAAATCTGTTTTCACATCGTTACACTATATTTTAATGCTACATTTGTTTTCAATAGCTTAATATAATCACCATGTCCATCACCTATGCCAACTCAAACATGGAAACCAAAGAAGAAAAAATAAGAATCATACACATTCTCACAAAAAGCAATCACCCTGCTAGTTCAGGATCTATTTATTTATTTACTTACTATATTTATATTTCTCACCTTAAAGGGGACTCAGAGTGGCTTTCAATATGGCACTATTAAATGTCATATCTATGTATATAATAAAAGACAGTGCGGCGGATGTGTATGTGGCAGCTTATGATACCTGTTACAGAAGTTGTCATTTGTGTTGCTACAGTTATGCCAGTTCAATATTGCACTATCCAAAAACGTTATCCCATAGCCAGGTCGTCATTCTTTTCCTAAAACCCAGGATGCATCTATTATTATTATTATTATTATTATTATTATTATTATTATTATTATTATCTTTATTTGTACCCCGCTAGCACCTCACAAAGGACTCGATGCGTTATTTATTCTTTATTTACAACATTTAATGGTATATCCTGCCCTTCTCACCCCTCAGAGCAGCTTAGAAGTTATATGTACACAATATATATTATATTATTAGCATAGCACAATATTCATATTATATATTTCACTATACTACTATAATGCAATATTATTAATAATATTACATGTAACATATAATATATATTTATAATATTACTATATGCTCCTTGAACGCCACTCTGGTGAGCAATCTGGATGCTGCCTGTCAAACATTCTTCAAAGGCAACCCCACGTAGAGCGCGTTGCAGTAGTATCTACAGGATGTAACCAGAGTGTGGACTGCCATGGCCAAGTCAGACTTCCCAAGATATGGGCATAGCTGGTGCACAAATTTTAATAATAAATGGAAACTATTTATTTATTTACCTTATTGGAGCCCCCGGTGGCGGAGTGGGTTAAACCCCTGTGCCGGCAGGACTGAAGACCGACATGTTGCAGGTTCGAGTCCAGTCAGAGGTGGATGAGCTCCCTCTACTAGCTCCAGCTCCTCATGCGGGGACATGAGAGAAGCCTCCCACAAGGATGATAAAACATCAAATCATCTGGGCGTCCCCTGAGCAACGTCCTTGCAGATGGCCAATTCTCTCACATGAGAAGTGACTTGCAGTTTCTCAAGTCATTCCTGACACAACAAAAAACTTTCTCTACCCCGAGGGGGGCTCAAGGCGGCTTACAATTGCACCTCCATGGTGCCTTAAAACCTATCACATCAGTTAAAACATAAGTTAAACATTAAAATGTAAGTATAATAAAAATACATTTCAATGAGTCATGTCATCCAAAGTCATAGTCTAAAGCAGGCATCCTCAAACTGCGGCCCTCCAGCTGTTTGGGCCTTCAACTCCCAGAATTCTGGAGTTGAAGGCCCAAGGGTCTGGAGAACAAGCCGTATGAGGAGCGGCTTAAAGAGCTGAGCATGTTTAACCTGAAGAAGAGAAGGCTGAGAGGAGACATGATGAGGGCCATATATAAATTCGTGAGAGGAAGTCATAGTGAGGAGGTAGCAAGCTTGTTTTCTGCTTCCCTGGAGACTAGGACACAATGGAACAATGGTTTCAAACTACAAGAAAGGAGATTCCATCTGAACATTAGGAAGCACTTCCGTTCAGCAGTGTGGTGGAGGCTCCTTCTTTGGAAGCTTTTAAAGAGAGGCTGGATGGCCATCAGTCGCGGGTGCTTTGAATGCAATTTCCTGCTTCTTGGCCGAATGGGATTGGATTGGATGGCCCATGAGGTCTCTTCCAACTCTATGATTCTAATTCCTGACAACTGAATAAGCTCGTGAGGGTTTCCGGGGGTCGCAGTTTGAGGATGCCTCGTTTAAAGGCCAAGCCATAGTCACACTAACATTCCTGCACTGCTCTATTTTTCCTACGCCTGCTTTGAACCTGCTTAACCCGAGCGGGAAGAAACAAGGGCCTCCTTCCCCGCCTCCACAGGTTCCCCGGAGGGCCACGCCGCTCCTGGCCTGCTTCTGCCCGGCCCTTCTCCCCCGAGCCTGGTCGGCGCCCGAGCGAAGGATACGATAGGCTGCACCATCACCTTCTGCACTTTCTGCCCTTGCCCGCGGTAGGCCATCCCTGCGGAAACTGTGCTGAGAGTGAGAGTAATCCCGCCGAGAAACTCCTCAAGACCGGGACCTCACCGCCTCCTCCAGCCTCACGCATGCGCAGACGTGAGCTACGTATTCCCGACGTAGGCCACACACTTCCGACGGAAGTGACGTTGCCGTTTGTTTGTATCACAATGATGGCGGCCTGGGGTATCTCTCTCTCCCGGCGGCGGCGGGGGTGCCAAGGGGGCTTCACTCGGTGCAGAGTCGGCAGTGTTTTCGGTCACGGTTCGTTTTGCACCGGGCGGTTTGCCTGTTATCTAGCGTACGATTTGGTCTTGGCGCATCATTCCATCTTTCGCGCATTGTTTGGGAAGAGTCGAGACAAGGCGGCGGCGAGGAGAGGCGTGTGCGGCCTTCTCCCTCGGGGGCCTCGTTCCGCCTCTTGCGCCCGGGTGAACACCTCCTCTTCCCCACCTCGAAGCCAGACTCCCATCTCTTCGGCGGCCTTTCTTTTAGCGGAGGCGCTTTCCTGGAGGCCGGGTAATGGGCCTAGTCGTCTTTTCCCCCTGAGGCCTGACCAGATTCGACTTCCGCTTTCTCCAAACGGGGTCACTTGCTCGCCCTTCTTTTGTAATAGAATATGCAGATGTGCATCATAAATCGGCTAACTTAGCAGTGGTTTTCAACCTTTGATCCTCCAGGTGTTTTGAACTTCAAGAAATTCAAAGCCCAACTTACCTGTCAGAACGCATCTCCTCCTATGAACCAGTTAGGACACTAAGATCGTCTGGGGAGGCCCTGCTCTCGATCCCGCCAGCTTCACAAGCACGTCTGGCGGGGACGAGAGACAGGGCCTTCTCAGTGGTGGCCCCTCGGCTGTGGAACGCCCTTCCTACAGACATTAGATCGGCCCCCTCCCTACTGGCATTCCGGAGGAGAGTGAAGACCTGACTGTTCGAACAGGCATTCAACTAGGCAGTGCAATTGAATTGATTATTGGAACACGGAAAATGGATATGGAGACTGGATTCTGATTTTATTAATGAGACGTGATGGATTGCTAAATTGATGTATTGATGTTTGATGTTTACTCACTTGCTTTTAAATGTTTAATGATTTTCTACTGTGTATATTAGAATTTGTTGTTAACCGGTCTGAGTCGCCTAAGAGCTGAAGTAAATAAATAAATAAATAAAGTTGTTGGGAATTGTGGGAGCTGAAGTTCAAAACACCTGGAGGACCAAACATTGAGAACCACTGGGCAAGAACTTCTACTTGTTAAGTAATGATAATTCCGTTCCTTCTCATTTATCCTTTGATTTCATTCTGAAATGGGATGGGCAGTGCATATTTCCCAAAGAGTATTCTTCTTGGGGTTATGTAGATGATCTTTAATAGGACATTGGCAACTCCAAAAATAAACACTACTGTTCGGCCCGAAATTAACAAAAATAGATTGGCAATTCCAAAACCTACTCCCGACAAAATACAGCTGAGGTGCCAAGACGGTGGCCCCTCCAAACTAAAGGTGGTGCTGTTCAATGCCAGGTCGGTAAACGGAAAAACTTCCATCATTCAAGATCTAATCCAAGAAGAACAAGCCGACCTGGCTTGTATAACAGAAACCTGGTTGGACGAGGGGGGAGGGGTTAATCTCTCCCAACTCTGTCCACCAGGTTATTCTGTTCAGCACCAACCAAGGCTTGGAGGACGGGGAGGCGGAGTCGCAGTGGTCTATAAAGACTTTATCCCACTGATCAGGTGTCCCATCCCACAATCATCTTCCTTTGAATGTGCCGGCTTTAGGATAGGTGACCGGGACAGGATAGGGATTCTGGTAGTGTACCGACCACCCCGCTGCACTACAGTCTCCCTACCAGAGCTAGCGGGAGTGGTCTTGGACATGGTGTTGAACTCCCAACGGCTTTTGGTCCTGGGAGATTTCAACATCCATGCCGAGGCCTCTCTCTCCGGAGCGGCTCAGGACTTCATGGCCGCCATGGCAACCATGGGCCTGTCCCAGCTAATATCTGGTCCCACCCATAGTGCCGGACACACCTTGGATTTGGTCTTCACTCAGGGATGGGATGAGGGTGACGGAAGGGAGGAGTCGACCATCGCCCCTTTGCCATGGACCGATCACCACCTGATCAGTTTTAGACTAACTGTGCCTTCTAACCTTCGCAGGGGTGGTGGACCCATTAGAATGGTCCGCCCCAGGAGACTGATGGATCCAAATGGTTTCCTGATGGCTCTTGGGGATTTCTCCACCTCCTTGGCTAGCGACACTATCGATGCTCTGGTCTCTGGCTGAAATAGTGAGTTGACCAGGGCAATTGAAACTATCGCTCCGGAACGCCCCCTCTCGAGTAACCGAGCTAAACCAGCTTCTTGGTTTACTGAGGAGCTGGCAGCAATGAAGCGAAAGAAGAGGAGGTTAGAGCGCGTGTGGCGCCAGAATCCCACCAATCCAGCCCAAACACACCTGAAGGCCTTTTTAAGGTCCTACGGTGTGGCAGTAGAGGCAGCTCAGAAAACATTCATCACAGCCAATATTGCATCAGCGAAGAATCGTCCAGCTGAGCTTTTTCGAGTTGTCAGGGGCCTGTTAAACCCGCCAAAAAGCGAGGCTTCGGATAACTCAGTGGCTCGCTGTGAAGCATTTGCTCGATCCTTCGCGAATAAAATTGAGCGGATTCGGTCTGGCTTTGACGTCATGTTAACGGCAGTCTCTGGGGATGTAACGAGAGCATCTGCTTGTCCAGTTTTGTTGGATTCGTTTCAATTGGTTCAGCTTGAGGATGTGGACAGGATCCTTGGAGAGGTGCGACCCACCACATGCATCCTAGACCCCTGCCCTTCCTGGCTGATCAAGGAAGCCAGAGGGGGTTTGGCAGAGTGGGTGAAGGTGATGGTTAATGCCTCCTTACAGGAAGGAAAATTTCCAGCGAGCTTAAAACAAGCTATTATAAAACCGCTGTTGAAGAAACCATCACTGGATCCCACTCAATTTGACAACTATCGGCCAGTTTCCAATCTCCCCTATTTGAGCAAGGTCATGGAACGTGTGGTGGCAACACAACTCCAGGGGTTTCTGGTAGACACTGATTATCTAGACCCGGCACAGTCTGGCTTTAGGCCGGGACATGGAACTGAGACAGCCTTGGTCGCCTTGGTAGATGATCTGCGCAGGGAGCTGGACAGGGGGAGTGTGTCCCTGTTAGTTCTGCTGGACCTCTCAGCGGCCTTCGATACCGTCGATCACGGTATCCTTCTGGGGCGCCTCATGGACATGGGGCTCGGAGGCACTGCACTGCGGTGGCTCCGATCCTTCCTTGAGGGACGGACCCAGAAGGTGTTATTGGGTGACACCTGTTCGACTCCGCAACCGTTGTTGTGTGGAGTCCCACAGGGTTCAATTCTGTCCCCGATGTTATTTAACATCTACATGAAGCCGCTGGGAGAGATCATCCGGAGTTTCGGACTGAGGTGTTATCTCTACACAGATGATGTCCAACTCTGTCACTCCTTCTCACCTGTCACCAAGAGGCCGTCCAGACCTTGAACCGGTGCTTGGCCGCTGTGTCGGACTGGATGAGAGCTAACAAATTGAAATTGAATCCAGACAAGACAGAGGTCCTACTGGTCAGTTGGAAGGCCGAACAGGGCATAGGGTTACAGCCTGTGTTGGATGGGGTTACACTCCCCCTGAAGACGCAGGTTCGCAGCTTGGGAGTGATCCTGGACTCATCGCTGAGCCTGGAACCCCAGGTCTCGGCGGTGGCCGGGAGAGCTTTTGCACAATTAAAACTTGTGCGCCAGCTGCGCCCGTACCTTGGGAAGTCGGATCTGGCCACGGTGGTCCACGCTCTTGTCACATCCCGGCTGGATTACTGCAACGCACTCTACGTGGGGTTGCCTTTGAAGACTGCTCGGAAACTACAACTAGTCCAGCGAGAAGCAGCCAGATTGCTCACCGGAGCGACGTACAGGGAGCATACAACCCCCCTGTTGCGTCAGCTCCACTGGCTGCCGATCCAATTCCGAGCACAATTTAAAGTGCTGGTTTTGACCTATAAAACCCTATACGGTTCCGGCCCAGTGTACTTGTCCGAACGGATCTCCCTCTACGTCCCACCTCGAAGTTTAAGATCTTCTGGGGAGGCCCTGCTCTCGACCCCGCCAGTGTCACAAGTGAGGCTGGCGGGGACGAGGAGCAGGGCCTTCTCAGTGGCGGCCCCCCGCCTGTGGAACTCACTCCCCGGGGAGATCAGATCGGCGACTTCCCTTCTAGCGTTTAGGAAAAAACTAAAGACCTGGATGTGGGACCAAGCTTTTGGTCATGCTGACAACTAACTAAAGGACCTGTCGATAGACAAGGACAAATGGAATAGAATGGATATATGGACTCTGATATATGGACTCTGACATGAGATTGTTTTAGGATTTATGATTTTATTATGTATTGATGTTTTAATTTAACTGCTGAATTGTTATATTTTTGGATTACTTTTTGTGTGATTTGGGCATCTAATTGTGCCCTCCCTGTAAGCCGCCCTGAGTCCCCCTCGGGGTGAGAAGGGCGGGGTATAAGTGAATGAAATAAATAAATAAATAAATAAAAATGATGGGACTGAACTAACGTATTCCAGGCTGCAGTGCTAAAGTGAAGAGAGGCCAGTATTTCGTATCTGTCTTTACACTGTTTTCCCCCCCTTGCATGCCTTGTTTGAAAGAAGCTATGTTTGTTCTTCCACATCACCTTTATATGTGAAATTGTTATATTTTCCAGATGGTAATTTGAATTTTGGGATAAAGACACTTGAGGAAATCAAGTCAAAGAAAGCGAAACAAAAAACAAAGCATCTATTTCGTAAGTTCACTCTTTTCCCCTGGTGATTTGGGTTAGAATGAAGTCTTGTTTGAAAAGGCCAATGTGCTTGGTATCTGAGAGAGTATACTACTTAGTTCAGTAGTCATGAGATAGTAATGACTTGTGCATGCCCTCCTGTTGTGGCAGATCAGAAGGCTTATATCAGCATATTAAAAGTGTACCTCAGACGTGAACTTGTCAAATGGACATACCCTGTTTCCCCAAAAATAAGACATACCCTGAAAGGAAGACCTAGTAGAGGTTTTGCTGAATTGCTAAATATAAGGCCTCCTCTGAATGTAAGACCTAGCAATGTTGTTTTTGGAAGCATGCTCCCCCCCGGTGGCCAGAAGCTGCAAGACCATCCCTGATATACAAGTGGTCCAGGAACTGCTGTGGGATGTCCTTACAGTTTCCAGACAATGTGAGGGAGCCAGGCACTTCACAGCCCTTATTTTTTGTGGCTCTGTGTGTGGGAACTAGAATATTTATTATATATTGACAACTACTATAAAGTATATAATAAATGTTCATTTTTTCATTCAACAATAAATGTGAATTCTTCTTCATGGAACAGTAAGGCATCCCTTGAAAATAAGACCTAGCGTATCTTTGTCAACAAAAATTAATATAAGATGCTGTCTTATTTTTGGGGGAACAGGGCAGGAAACTGTTATCCTCTGCTGTAGTCCATATTTTGCAGGATTGTTTTTAAGGACTACTACTAATAGTTTTATTAATACTATTGCCATATTAGATGTGCTTAACTTAGAGTAATCTTCTCTTTCTTTAGTGCCTCTTATGCATTCTTCACAATTTCAGCCTTGAAGTCCTTAATAGTTATTACATTGTGGTAGTACAGCTTAATGTCATACTCTTCTACTTTTTTCAGCCCATTCTTCTAGAATTGCTGCTCAAACCCAGGCCCATCCAGGCCAAGATAATGCAGATGAACATGCTATGGTCGGAACTGTAACTTTATCGTCAAAGGATGGCAATTACATCGTTTTATCTCTGTGAGCAATAGAAATGAGTGGCAGGTACTTGTGAATGACTAGATCAGTCACATCAGCAGTACATATAAGCCAATGCAAGGACAACGCTGGATTACATTGTGTTCAGTGTCATGAATGAAAAAAAAGTTGCAAATTGTAGACAGCAAAGACTATGAAATGTTACTAATATTTACTTGCAGATGCAAGGAAATCTGAAAGTATGCATGTTCCACAACTCTGCATATATGGTGTCCCACAAATCTGCAAACGGCCACCATGAAGCCATAACTTTGTTTGCTTCAGTGAAAGGAATTTTATATGTCTGGTTATGTCAGTTTGTTCAGCCAATTATACTCAAAACCATGTTTTTAACAATACTGCTTTTTAACTGCATCAGCTTTGCTTTGTGGTAAGAAAAAGGGGTTGCATCAATTTCAAATAGAAATAAGTCACCTAATCTTGCAAAGACACTGGAGGTGTCTGTGTACAATGCCAGCTCTTTGGTTTAGAAATTGAGATGAGCACTACAACTGGACTTAATGTCAGGGTCACTTGTTATAGTTATATAATACAATTTGCATCTTGTTTTTTTTTTTAAAGAAAAAAATGCTTAATAAGGATTGCAGTATCCTATTTATGCGTAAGTACCCTATATACTCAAATATAAGCTTATCCGAATATAAGCAGAAACACCCGATTTTACCACAGAAAACTGGGAAAATGTATTGACTCGAGTATAAGCTGAGGGTGGGAAATGCACCACTACTAGAAAATTTCAAAATAAAATTAGATACCCGTAAAATTACATTAATTGAAGCATCAGTATTTTTTTAATTTTTACATAAAACTGTAATTTAAGATAAGACTGTCCAACTCTGATTAAACCATTATTCTAACCTCCTTCAATGTAAATGTGCTTACATATCCTTCCAATAATAATAATAGACTAAAATAATGGAAATGTAATAATAGCAGTAATAATAGAGTGAAATAAAAATTTAATAAAAATAAGAGTAAAATAATGTAAGTTTCATAACAACAATAATAAAGTAAAATAATAAATGTAATAATAAAAATAGAGTAAAATAATAAATTAATAATAATAGAGTAAAATAAGAAATGTAATAAAAATAATAATAACAACAGAGTAAAATAATAAATAGCTTTGACTCAAGTATAAGCTGAAGGAGGCGTTTTCACCCTTAAAAAAGGGCTGACAACTTGGCTTATATTCGAGTATATATGGTATTTAAAATGCTACAATGTAGTATAGACATAATATATTTGTAGGAGGCATACAGAGCTAGAATTTAAAAGCAAAGCAGAACCTTGAAATTCAGCCCTTTTGTTTTTTTTATCGTAAGTTGCTGAGACTGACCTTCCTACAAAACGTAACCTTGCTGAAAGACTGGGAAAAAGAATACATCCCTTGGAGAATGCAGACAGAACACCAAAGACAGGTATGTTTGCTGAATCAGCAAAACGAATGCAACACCTTAGATTATTATTAGAATGTTTGATTCTGGTATTATTAGGTTGCTTTTTTTAAAATAAAAAACCTGCATTTTGGAGAAARCAGAATATGATGCACAGTTTTTTAAAAAATGGTAAGTATCTTTCTAACTTGTCTTTTAGTACAGGGATTTGTGATTAAAATACTCATTGAAGACATCTATTTTAATAGGTACAAGGAGTTGTAGAACAGGCAGACCAGTGAAGTGCGCATCAAAACGTTAAAGGAAATCAAGCGGGAGAAAGCTCTTCAAATGCGGCAGGGTGTGGACAGCAAAAAGACACAGCTTCAGCCTGAGAGAACTCCATTTGAGAGGAGACTGCAATGCATTACAAAACCAACAGGTGCCACATGTTCATAATATTTTTTACACTTCCAAATAGCTGGTATGTAGAATGTACTTGTATTCCTTTTATCTAAAGGAGTCATGTTGGCAGAAGAGGAGCTTGGCATCCGTGGCAGCCACTTTTGTATATTTCATCCTCATAAGACAATACCAGGCTAGCTTGAGGAAACTTCGGATCATCGCCGGCAATCGGACAACACATTAAATCACATTAATCCACTCATTTTCCTCTTAGTTCATTGTTTCCCACTTGCACCACCTCCTCACTCCTCATTTGCTGAGAAACTGAAGCAACCCTGGCTTTGCCATTGGCCAAGGGGCACCAAAGCCGGGCACGCCTCCCCTCCAGCTGATGACACCAGCCAATCAGCACGAAGTTGGCAAGGGGGCGGGGGGGGGGGGGGGGGGGGAGGTTTGAATTTGACAGTTCTGTATTTCTATAAATATACACACTTTTGCCCTACCAAGCATGTCAGCTTTGGCAAGGGATTGCGGTTTGACATCCATGCCAGCTGGAATGAAATAAAGACAACTTAGTGGCTTTTCTTCAACTTGGTGAGACTTCTATTGGGAAAAATCAGAGAAAAATCTTTCGATGCTTCTTTCTGTCTCGCAAGGGTAAATGGACTCTTGTTTGAGAGTATGCTCGGTCTCTGCCTCCTGGCAAAGACCCCCAAATTCTCGCTCGACATCAAGATAACTGCCATGTATTTGAATTAGTGATACTTCATCTTGAAAATCAATAGTAGCTGAAGGTGTTAAGGCTCTCTTTTTGGGTTTGTGTAAATAGACTTTATTGCTGCATTTCACACAAAAGGAAATTAGAGCAAGGAGTGTATGGGGAGATAATGTTATATTTATTTTGAGAGAGCCCAATTTCTTGTTTTCAAAAAGGAGGGGAGGAATAATTTATGTATAGCAATTAAGGAAACATGGCATTAGAGGGGATCAGTCTTTCCTGAAGACTTGAGGCCAGGCACAACACAGTTAAAATCACATAATTATAAAACATTATGTAAATGCATATATTAAAATATTTTTATGAAATACATGTATTAAATTCACAGAACAAAGACTAAAATAGAGTAAACACAAAACATGAGTTTAAAATTCATAGTTAAAAATTGACTGGGTGGGTAAGCCTGCTGGAATAGATAGCATAGTGCAGTGGTTTCTGCATTGGATTGACAATTAGTTTCTAAGCAAAGTGCAAAGTGTTGCCCTTGATCTCGAAATCCCTACATGGTTTGGGTGCAAGTTACTTATAGGATTACCTTTTCATGTACAATCTGCCCCTTACCACACTGAGGTTCTCTGTGGGGCAGCTACTCCATCCAGCCAGAACCCAATTAGTTTCCTTCGCCCAGAGGACCTTTTCATTGGCTGCCTCACAACTGTGAAATGACCAGCTGGAAGAGATCCAACAGCTAAATCATCTGTGGAAATTTAAGAGGCAACTGAAGACCCATATCTTCCAACAAGCCTACTAAAGGCCCTTCCACACAGCCATATAACCCAGAATATCAAGACGGAAAATCCCACAATATCTTCTGTAGTTACTGTATTTACTCAAATCTAATGTTCAACTTTTTTGGCTAAATTACATTCCCAAATTTAGGTTCGCATAATATGGTCCTGGTTGAGAATCAGCCTGTGTTTGTGTTCCAGGATCATGAGGCTTCTTATGTGGGAAATAATGAGGCTGAGGTGCAAGATGGAGATGGTTTGGTCAATGATTTTCAGACAGACAATGACAGAGAGGCCCCAGTGCAAAGGGCAGTTTCTCATGAGAATATTCCTGCTAAGCCTAGGGATGATGATTTACTCCCGCTTTATGTGACCTCTCAAGATTTGGGTTTGGCAAACAATTGTGACACCTGGTGCCACATGTTCATGTTTGGCAAACAATTGTGACACCTGGAAATTTTAATGAGCAGCCAAATAGGGAGTTGAAGAACAGGCGGCTGGATATCAGCCAGGATCAACAGCAAACCCAGTGTTTATATTGCTCCAAAAGGCTCCGTCAGATAAGGAGCAAGTGTGGGGGAAAGCAAAACCAGTTTCTGGCTTTTGGGATATAAGTTTTGCTTCAAGGGAAAACCTGTTAGATCAGGTATAGTTTGGAAATCAAGTTCATGTGCCATGGAAATCCTGTTCAAGGGGTCTTGTTCCTGTGGAGATCTGTGGGGTCTTGTTCCTGTGGAGATTTTTAGCCTTTTGGATTGTCTTTGCATCCTGTTGATTCCTGTCTGGATAAACACTGTCTTGGATTGCTTTTATATCTTGTGTGGACATTGCTTTGTGTTCCTGCATTTTATTGAGTTATTACTTTTTGGAACCTTCTTATTTTCTTACAAGCATTTCTTTCTACTGGCTATTTACTAAGCTTCAATAAAAGAGGATTTGTTTCTTCACTCATCGTGTGGTGTGTTTTAAAGTCAGAGGGCTTTTTCCTGACCTGGAGTGCAACAGTCCTCTTAGTTCTGAGCCAAAGCAAAAGGGGAAGTGTGACGATGTGTAACTTTTATTCTTATGGTTATGTGTTGTTTAAACAGTAGTTAATAAATGGTAAGTATGTAGGATTATATTTTGTTAGAGATGGTGGCTGATTTAGCCTGAGCTGAGTTGCCATAGCAACAGGGGCGGAGCCAACTGCCAACTGCCTCTTCACGGGGCAGCTGTTTGAAAGTAGCAGTCTGTAAGCCGGTGAGCTACAGGGAAAACTGAATCTCTGGGTGGAGATTCAGGGAATTAATTTGTGACCAAAAGGGTTACAGGAAAGGACCCGGTAGTGATAAAACTACAGGGGGTTATTGATTCTGGGTTAAGAATCAAGGTTTGGCCGGGAACCAATTCTATTAAATAAGCCTTTCAGGTTATTTGTTTTATTAGGACAGTTGTCCAGAAGAGATACATCTGCTTATAGAAACCTCTTGGAAGTCTGTGCCTGAGGTTACTCATGAAACCTTACTAATGTAACCAGTCAAGATTCGTGCCTCTTGTGAAGAAACAATCAAATCTGTTATACCTTGCTTGTTCCAATAAAATTGTTACTGTTCTCCTCAAGCCTTGCTTGATACAGTTTCTCTTAAGTCAAACAGCCTGCATAAGAAGTAAAGTAAAGCCAGGGACAGTAAATGCTACGCTATCAATACTTCTGTAAATAATAGTCCCTTTATAAACCAGCTCATAAGCTGATATTGATCATTGGCCGGCTTTCCTCACAGATTAGGTGGCAGTAGTTTTACCCTCCTTTACAGGAAGCTACTTCAGGAGCACCTAGAGACGCCAACTCTAATTTAATGACCACCGCTCAATGCTATGATATCCTGAGATTTGTAGTTTGATGAGCCATAACAGCAGAAAAAGTTCAATAATAATAATAATAATCATAATATACTTTATTTATAATCCACCCTATCTCCCCAGAGAGACTCAGGGCGGATTCCAACATACAATGGCAAACATTCAGTGCCTCCATAAAACAAACAATCTCAGAAAAACACCCACATATGAAAACAACATTAGAACCTAATATCAATAAATCAAATGTAATGAAACAAAAAATATATAATTCCATTAAATCTGAACATAAATCATCCACATTGACTTACAGAAGTCAACTATTGTTCACAAAGTTTTGTGGGTTGGTTGTGTGTCCAGTGATGGTAACTGGGCTAACATGAACTAGCAGAGCCTGGATAGGAGATACTTGTAAAACTATGATTCCATAGCATTGAGGCAAGGCAGTTCAAAGTGGATTCATTCTGCAGCATAGATGCCTCCCAAGGGCTTTATTTTCCATTGTTGTTGGATTTGGCGTTTAAACTCTTGTTTTTAAAAAAGGAATTATAAGCATGCAGCTATTGTTACGCGTGCCAAGTTACAAAGATTGCGCTTTTTGCTGCTGCACATTGCATTCACTAGCAAATCATTTTTTTGATTCCAGGGTTTTGAAAATTGAGTTTATGCATTAGATTCAATTGTGCATTAGGTTTAGGTAAAGGTTTTCCTCTGATATTGTCCAGTTGTGTCCAACCTCTGTGGGGTGGTGCTCATTCGAACCTTTAACTTTTCGGTCAGCATTAGACTTGAGTAAATTATTGCTATTTTTGAGTCTTCCAAGAGGAGAAGTGAATTTCTTATGAGTATTTGCTTATGAGTTTATTGTGTATTGTATGTTGTTGATTGTCGGTAATCTTGGCCTTTGTAAGCCGCATCGAGTCCTTCGGGAGATTTTGCGGGTTATAAATAAAGTTAATAATAATTAATAATTTCCAAGGAAATGTCTCAGTAAGGGTAGAGAGGTGAGGAACAAACATGATCAATCAGCATTTACTAATTGGTGAGGGGTTGTGTTCATATTCCAGACAAACGCAAGGCCAGAAAAAATTAAAACCAAAAAAGACGAGGGAAACGAAAAAGGAAACCTGAAAAACAAATTCCAACTAAGCAAAGCTCACCAACGATTATAACTGTGGTAAGATAACTGCATTTCTCAGTAAGGGTAGAGAGGTGAGAAACAAACATGATCAATTAGCATTTACTAATTATTGAGGGGTTGTGTTCATATTCCAGAAAAACGCAAGGCCAGAATAATTTAAGACAGGAAAAGAAGATGGAAATGAAAAAGGACCATTACAGCAGTGGTAAGATATTTCTTCTTCTTCTTCTTCTTCTTCTTCTTCTTCTTCTTCTTCTTCTTCTTCTTCTTCTTCTTCTTCTTCTTCTTCTTCTTCTTCTTCTTCTATGTGTGTGAATAATATGTATGCATGAATACTGGAATTAATAATGATAATTATGTTTTAACAGCCAATGAAAACCCCCCCCCCCCCCAACTAAGCCAAAAAAAAAGGTGAGGTTAGTGGGTTGATGTGTTGCCAGATGAGGCAGCAATGATCTTGTTAAAAGTCTGGCCTCAGTATAACTTAAACTTTTTATGCTCTTTCCACAGGATGGCTCCCAAAAAGAATGTGGGTGGCCCAAAGGGCAAGGGCCCAGCCAAGAAGATGCTTTTATCACCTGAAGACAAGGGCTTCCACCGCTACCAACACTGAAGGAGCATGGCCTTGGGAACAGGGCCAGCTGCATGAGCCGTTACGTTGCCAAACCAGCCAGACGGAGGCCATTTCACAAGGCAGTAGTTAAGGCCCTGACACTCTAATTATTTTGTTATTGCTATTTCTTTAAGTTTATTAATTAGTAATTTAACTTTGTTAATTAGGATCACTGTACAGTACTTATTTTCTTGTTGTCTTGTTTGTTCTTCTTTTCATTACTTCTTTGCTTTGTCCTTTTGTTTCTCTTTATCTGAAGTTTCTTCTTTTCTTTCTCCTTTCTCTCTGCACCTCCTGCTTCTTTCTTCCTTCTGCATTGCTCAACTGGTTACTCCTTTCAAATTTTTTATGTTCCTCTGTATCCCTTCCTTTTTGTATTATTCGTTCCCCATCCTCCCACATACTTTCAGGCACAGCTGGCACTTCACTCATTCACCCACTCACTCACCCACTCACTCACCCACCCTCTTTCAGACATAGCATTTCATTCATGCCTTTTCAGTGGAAAGGAAGCCTAGCTGCTAGTAAACTGTTTATGGTGGGGGAAGCTACCCACCCGCACTGTTCAAATCAGTAATAACAATTTTACCATCCCAAAAATGGGGGTGTCACTCTTATGCAATTAAGTATGGTGTTCCATTATCTCATTTATAGTTAAAGGTAAAGATTTGCCCCTGACATTCAGTCGTGTCCGACTCTGGGGGTTGGTGCTCATCTCCACTTGGAAGCCGAAGAGCCGGCGCTGTCCATAGACACCTCCAAGGTCATGTGGCAGGCATGTCTGCTTGGAGAGTCGAGATAGATAGATATATAATTTGTATTTAAATCATTGCATCTAAATCAAATGTTACTATTTCTAAACATAGATATTTGTGTTTAAAATAAAGATGTCAGAAATGTACTTCCATTCTCCTTCCTTTTATTTGAGTTATATCTCATTTTTCTTTCCAGAACAGGACTAAGAAAACAGGAGATAAGAAATGTGAGTTTGTTTTTTTTTGTGATTCCTCAGTCCTTAGAGGACCTATACTTTAAAAAATATTCCATATTATGTTCCTGGGGTTTACACCTGAATATGTTCTAGGTACATAAATGGTACAATGCTGTTTTGTATGTGTAAGATTTTCAATGCCATGTATCTTTATGTGTAGGTCAGACTTCTACCCTAAACAGGTGATTTTGAAATAGATGGAATCAATAGAACTGGGCAAGGGAAGCATACACACTGTGTTTTATTGTAATGCTACATATAGCTTTAAAAGCAAGGACATGAATTGAGTTTAAGAGTGAACACATACCTAGTGGAGGGATTTAGGAAGAAGATGTATTGGAAACATTTTTACCATGATTACAAGATTCTTGTCAACTAGAGTGCTGGACGGATGTGTGCTATCTGAAGCGAGAACAGAAGGCTGAATTTACCAGGTTGAAAACCATAGGTTTGCCACAGGAACAGATTGGAATGATGGTATCACCTTTTGCATATGTAACAATGATTGAGAACATACTGGTCATGGAGAAAGGTGGGTGTTCTGATTTTTGTGTGGGGCAGTTTCAACTGTGATTTAGCCATTAATGTCTCCTTTAAGGTCAAAACGTCAGTCTTAGTTGGAAGGTCATCATACAACTAGGGATCGCCTAAGTAAGTAAAGTACTTTTTCAAAGGACAGTCAGTGATAATAATCCATATTATTGTGGATGGAGAAGATTTTATTAAACACACCTAAGTTTTAATCTGGAGCTTGTGCAATTCACTTCCCATAAAGACAAAGCAGAAATTCAGTCAGCCAGTCCTCTTTGCTTTGACCGTAGAGCTTCAGTAGGGTCCAAGAGGAATTTAAATGACATGCAAAACACACACTGTACTACTGACTTAACCGTTTGCCTAGAAGTCTGCCATCCCAAAAAGATAGGTCTTGCAACTTTACCAAATGATATTGAGACACGTCAAGACAAATGGAGTTGCCCTTGTTACATGGTTTAGTTTTGAGTGCAAGGATTTCTCTTTAACAGGATGACTGGCTGCCTCCCAGTTCTTCAACTTGCAGGAAAAAAGCTTTTTTTGGTTCAGGCATGGTTTTGCCTTATGAAATATGGGACTTTTAGTCCAGAGTGAAGGGTTCTACATGTCCTGTTTTTTCTCTGTGTTTTTACATGGTTATCAGATGGTTTAAAATGTTGTTTTAATGTGAACCATTTAATTATGTTTTAAGGCAGTGCCACTGTATTCTTAGCTGTATCTGTTTTCTAAGCAGTAGCTGTGAAGGAAGAACAATTTTCATGGCTCCTTAGAATGTGTGCTGAAATAAACTGGTTAATCTTACAGGTGCCATAAAACTATTTCCCCCTTTCTATTACATACATGTATTTAGCCTGTGTTTTACCTCTGTTGCAAGTTGCCTCAGTCACATTATTGGGAGAAAGGTTTTATTTTCTTTAATATTCTCCTAACATGTTATAGGCAGTGGATAGCTATCTTTTATGAAAATTTATGAATATCTTTTATGAAAATTTATGAAAATATGCAGCCACATAACTTATAACAAGGATTTCCTCTTTCCCAGAATTTTATGCCTGACTCCAAGCCATGGTCAAACTCTTTTTCCAGGTTAGGTTTGGGAAGTGTGAGGCCCCCTAGATGTGGTTGGATTTCATTTCTTGGCACCATGACTTACCAAAACCCATGGAACATGCCTCAATATCAAGACATGAACCTGTCTCATAAAAAGAAAAACATGGACGCTCCATTTCTGCATAGACTAGTCCTGTGATATCACATGTCTACAACCCTGACCATTCATGCCCAATGCTTTCCCATCCTCTGTGTGGTCAGAAAAAGTTGGAAAGTGTTTTCTCCTATGTATTGAAGTGCTTATATAGAGCTCCTTCATGGGCTTGAGCTCATCTTTGCATGGAGTTCAGTGCATCTGCAACAATATGCAAGATAAGCTCTTTGCTACATGGTCCAAAAGTGTAGACAGTACAGAACTGCAAGAGCAGTGCAACTAGATTATATGATCATGGAGTTATGTTAATTTGTTCAACATAAGGGTGTGTCTCATACACAGTGCCGTTGTGCAAGTCATCCTGAAATCTACCTTTTAGAGGCCAAATGCTTGCTCTACTTGAAGTTAACAGGAACATCAAAACACGTGCTGACACCTACATTTTTTGTGTTGGACAGAATATAAATGGTTGCAATATCAACAAAGCATTACCAAAACCATTTAATTTTGTTTGACTTATCAGTAAGGATGTAATTAATTATCCATGGGAGCTAGCTGGCTTAGTTCCAAGAACAGGCAGGTCTTACCCATATTTTCCAATTGGTTTACCTGATGTTTGGTGTAGTATCACAGTCCTGCTATCTAAATTTCTCAAAATTCTCAAAAAGTAGAAAGCAAAGCAAGAGTGGAGAAACTGTAGAAAACTTAAACTGCAGCTCTCTGGTTTTTAATGGGGTCATCAGAAGACTACACTACAATGCTACTCCGGGGTTTTGTGAAATATTAAAATGTGAGTCAGTCTCTTGGACAAAACATATTTTAGAAGGATCTAATGTAGACTCTGTAGCTTCACAACTTTGAGAATGCTGCTATCTGAAGCAAACACTAATGGCAAACAAAAGACTGGAAACCCCTTAAATAAATGTGGAAGCTTCCCAAATACTACAGCGTGACAGTGGTGTATTGGGGACAGCTATGTTTGAAATGCCCTTCCTGCATACATGGTCTAATAGCATGAAGCTTCCATCCATTGCCATGAATGCCACTGTGACTGTCAGCTGAATCTGGCAGAGACCAGTCAGAATTGTCTGACACCTGGGCTTTAAAGTCTTTGTTTTTCTCACAGCACTTGTGTCATTTTAACAATTCATCAAAAATAGACCTCTTGTGAATCTAGTGGAAAGGAATGGGCTGCTTCAGAAGTACCTCCCTTTGTTATACATTATACCTCTTGCTATTTGGGATTAGCAGGTGGCTGTCCAAGATTATTTGAATCAGGACTGAGCTGTTTGGTTCTTTGTGCAGAACTTCACTGCCATCCTCAGGGGAATTTGGACAAGCTCTATCAGTTAATCTACTGTGTAGAAGGTACTAATGACATGGATACTGAGAGAATTTCCTTCTGTCATGAGTTGCAGTTCTGCTGATATTATAGTTGGCTATTTGGCGGAATCTGGAAATAAGAATTTGAACCGGAAATGCAGCTACAGAAGATTGAGCAGTGAAGTCCTGTTGTATTTGTAAGATATTGAATATCTTTTTTCTTTAATCAGTGGTGGCTGATAGCGAACCTTCACTGGCTGTAATCTAAATTGATCCCTATTCCCAAAAATGTCTTCAGCACACTGAACAACTTGTTAAAAGTTTAAAATACAATCCAGAGCTGATTTACCATCCTGTCAACATAGAAGCAATCAGCTGTCTTTGCTCTGAGCACTGATCTTTAGTATGCTAAATACACTTATTTTGGAATAACAAGGACTACACATGTGCTACAGTACCAGTTATTAATTAGATATTGTAAATCTAGGAGTGTGCTACATATTTTACTTCTGTGGATATCACAGCATCATGTATCAAGTTAAATGCAATACAATTAAACATAATAAGCTACTTAGATTTATCTCTCATCTCTTTCATAACCATTCATCTTCCTCTATGACTAAATTTCTGGTGAGGCCTCGGTTGTAGAAAGTCAACAATGGAGAAGACATTTTAATTCCTGTATGTTCAAGACAGCCTCATGTTGGTCAGAACATCCCATATTATGTGATGTTAAAGTAGCAGTAGGGAACATGTAGTCTTTCATGTATTACTGGGCTACAACCACCTTCACTTACCCCACCTACATTGGCCATGTGGGGTTCCTAGGACATCCAGTCTAAAAATGCCCAAAGGGCCATGTGTTGCTAACCTCTGACTTAGAGACAGCAAGAATAGCCTGTTTGGAAAAAAAAAACCTATAAGGGAATGAGACACCACACACTTGGATCAGAAGTACCCACATCTTTAGGACATCTAGAGACCAAAAACATTCCAGACAACAAGAAAAATGGGCCACGTTTTTGTATATTTTTATTTACAATTAGATTTAAAAAATGCTTGCCCACAGACAATGGATGGCCTCACAAGTTTAATCTGGTTTTGCCAGCGACACACTGTGGAGGACCATATGACAGTGACAGACATACAGAGGCAGTAAATACTCGGCACTGATATCCATTGAGGCTTTGCTTGGTCTACACATATGTTTTTCATTTTTATTTTTGCCAAAGAATGAGGCAGTGATCTGCTGGGTCCAATTTCGCTATGTCAAAAACAGCAAAATTAAAAGCCTGAACGGACAATCCCAATTCGGTTTTGTAGAAATCAAATCAACAGAGTCTGCATGTGAAGCAGACTGAGATACCAGTGCACTTTTTCAGAGAATGGCAAGGCCCAAAAAGCAGCTAACAAACTAGTGAAGGAAAGGCTAAAGATCTATCTGCCTATTAGAAGAATGGAAGCTGATCTCCCAGGAAAAGAAGCTATTGAGCCAACAATGAAACTTATGACAGTATAAGTGTTTTCACTTTGTTCAGTTTGATAGCCCAGCTTGAGCTGAGTGAATCCTGTGAAGCAAATTATGGGTCTTATCTCCATATATGTCAAGCTCTGAGCACAGCATAAGTGTGCCACCTACCAAATTCCGCCATACCTCCTGACACCTCTCCCAATTCCTACTGTTGTGCTGCCACAGTCCACCCTCCAACAGCAATTTCAGGAGTGGTGAGAGCAAAGAGAACCAGAAAAACAACCAGCTGCAGACCAAGGATAGCTTTGCCCACAATCTACTTGGGTTCTCTAGAGGTCACCGTGAATGAAGTCACCGTGAATGAAGTCATCAATCTTTGGA